CCATTGTCTTGACTTCCATGTAACATGATTGCTAGTGAATTGGAGATGGAAAACGGAAGAGAATCTCAACCAAAAGTTTCAAGTCATATGGTCAAGTAATCTGGTCAAGTATCATGGTTCTTCAAATGAAACCTTAGTTGTTTAATTCTAGGAATTAAGAGGTTGCCTTGTTACCAACGATCTAAGTAACTCATAGTAATCTCCTTCCGTTGAAAATAAAAGATCTTGACTTTGAGTTGTGTGGTATATAGGTAGGGTTAAGTAAATGATGGGAGAATATTACCTCTTGTTGTGCGACCAACATAAAAAAAAAAAAAAAAAAAAAAAAAAAAAAAAAAGAAGTTGTCATTTTGATAAGGGATTTTCAATAAAATAACTTCCTCTTTTGGCTAGTAAAAGGAGTACCTATAATGTATGTATGACTAATATGTATTTACTGTTTATAATTTTTTATTTACGTGGGCTTCCATTAATTGGTGATTTTGATTTAATAAAACATGTTCACTTGTGCTAGTCCAAAATATTAAGATATATATTTGTGAGAAGTCCAACTATTGTGATCATTTGTGTGTGAGCTTAGAACATCTTGTGAGTATAATGAGGAGATGACTAGTGTAATGGGAGGGATTGCTATTAGGGTTTTGATATAAATTGAAGGCTAGATCTCCTCTTCACACCAATCGTTTGGTATCTACCCATTAAGAGCCATCATTCGTATGGTGCAAGAAGAGGAAGATCTTAACAGATCCATAGCATGGTGGCTTCTATCAAATTCTACATAATCTATAAAGTATCTATATAGAGCGTCATATCATATATGTAATTTATTTTATTTGTTATATTTGATATTTAAATTTTAACATTTACTTCTTACATATATACATTCATAAGTTAATATAAGTGCATCCAAAAAAAAAAAAAAAAGAGTTAATATATTTACCCTGAGATTTCAGAAATCAATTGTCGCAAACTAAAAAGAGAATTAATTAATGTTGTTTTAAAGTTATTTTAGAATCCATTGATTCATTTGATTGATAATATGGAGCTTAAATAGCAGATCTAGTTATCGTAGTTCTTCAGTTATTAGAATTAAAAGATCTTTATCCCTCAGCTGCACAGTAAACTAGTATTTGTTACGGCGAGAGATAAAGAAACAAGAAATATCAACACAGTACTTAAAGGCACTGCTTTCAAACCTGGCCTTGTCTGGTCAGTTCAACCAGTTAAATCGGATCCAATTCTAAAAATAGGCCGGGTGATGATATTTACTCGTTTAAGGTCAAATCCAATCAAAACCATTCAAACCCAATCAAATCCACTCAGATCTGATCAAACCTGTACAGACCCGGTCAACTTGATTGACCCAATCGGTTCAACATTTTTTTTTTTTTACATTTTCACTTTTTTTTTGTTTTTCTTTAATTTTTATATTTCTATTTATTTAATTAATAGATAATTTAATAATTAAATTGTAAAATCTATTTAAAATCAAATCACAATTAATGAATGAAAAATTTTAAATTAATTTAAATGTAATTTGAAATTAAATTACTATTTCAAATTATAGAGTGAATCTAATTTAAAATAAATCAATTTAATTTTAAAAATAAAATAAATAACTACTTTATATAA